GCACGGATCTGGGGAAAATCACACTGCAACAACTCGGATCGGACTTTCCCGCAGCCTGGCCACTATGGAACTTCTTCTTCTCCGGCGCGCGTACTCTCTCTCCTGCTCTCTGGCTGCGTTGTGCACAAACAAGTCTTCTTCGTGAGCGAGTTGCCCAATATGCTTTCTCTGGTCCTTTTACAGCTCTTCTGCGCACGGCTGTCTCTGGTTTTGTGATCTAGCACATATTTCCTTCCTCTGCGTGTTAGCTGTTTTGGCTGGCCTTCTCTGGTCCTTTTTTTGACTCCTCCGTGCAGGTTCGCCTTCGATTTCGTGATATCGGCGCTTATCCAGCTCTAATTTCACGATATCGGCGTATATCCGCTTTCTCTACGCATAAGCCACTTCGATTGGGCTTTTCTAGTCCTTTTTCTGACTCTTCTGCGCGCATCTGCCTTTGGTTTTGTGATACTAGCGCTGATCCAGATCCTCCGTGCACGAGCCACTCTGAACGGCCTTCTCTGGTCTTTTTTCCCGTTCTTCTGTGTGTGTCTATTAGTGGTTTGCAATTTGGTCTGCAAATTGGGCATATGTGATATTACTTCACCAACTTGGAGAGGGTTTTGAATAGAATATTTTATTAATTTTTATTTAATTAGTTGAGATAATGTAATTAGAGTTCTACTAAAATAGTAAACTCATGTCATTAGAATTCTACTAGAATAGTAATTTCTTTTTTTACAGATTAAAAATTTTATAAATATCTCAGGTGTAACACCATAAAGAATGTGAGAAAATAGAATTTATATTTTTTTCTCCAAAATCAATCGTTCCCAAAATCTTCAATCTTGTAAATATCATGCCTCAACAATAAGACCCCAAAAAGGTGATACCACCTGTCTTTGATCTTATTAATATCATTCTCAAAACCCTCAAAGACATTGTTTCTCTCTTTCCAAATAACCCACATAATAGTAAGTGGAATAAGTTTTACAACTTTTTTTCTACAAAGACCTTCCTAAGCTCAAAATCTCATCCCTCACCGACCCTGCAATAGCCCAATTAAGTAGTTGGATCTCTATTTACCCTCCTAGTTTGTAATTTTCCTCAACTGCATGCAGAGATGTTTACATTCTAAGTTTGTTGTCTCCTTCCTTAAGAGATTAGTCACATACTATCATTGTGAAATAAAGATGTCTTCCCTTGAATGTGCTAGTTCAACTCTTAGAAAATATTTTAGTCTTCCGGGTTCTTTAATATGGAATTATCTTATGAGGCATCTTCTCAATCTTTTTCTCATTATTTCTTGTTGCAATATTAAACCAACAGAATTGTGACTGTCCCAAGCCTGAGTGTTTTAATAATCTCCTTGACTCTACTTCCTAACGAGAAGTTTTATTTTGCCAAGCTAGATTTCAGAAATTATTGTCAAGCTGGGAATGGTCAATAACTTTTCACCAACTTTAGGGGAAGTATCATGAAGTGTAGTTCGGATAAAGAGTGTATTGGTAAAATATCTTCACATTCAATATAATAGACACAACATTCTATTTTTTCACATAAAGTATTAAGAAGCTGGAGAAGAAATGGAAGCCAAAGTAAATGAGGTGGCACAACTAATGCATCATGCAAGCATTTAGAAATTTGAATGAAGCAAAACTTGCCTTATCAGTGAACAATTTTCGCAGCAAAAACATGGAGCCCCCTACCTGGGTAACAGTACAAGAAAAGAGAGGGTATTCAAGGTCAGATTAATGTAAATAAGGGTGGCCTTACAGGTATTAATGTGGGTGTTCATGTCACCAATTTTTTTGCTAAGGCTACTAGGTGTTTTTGATTATGAATCTATTGATTATCTCCCAATTGGTTGGCCCATTACTCATCTTTGTATACCTTTATGAGATAATCCTAGGTAGGAGCATCTCTAGGATTCGGTGGTCAATAGGATTTCTAGACAGTTTGAGTGTTTGAAGGGAGTTTTTTCTCTCTAGGAGGAAGAGTCACTCTTATTCAATCTTGTCTCTCCTACATTCTGTTATGTCATCATTTTTTCTTTAGTATGCCTAAGAGTGTGGCAGGAGATAACTTGATGAATGGTTACGTAGGTTAAATGGTTATAGCATTTTCCATAGAATACTCATTCTTTGTGGCGAGGTCGCTCTTATTTGATGAATCTGAAGATTCGAAGATTGGTCACCAGGAAGGATATTCCCAAGGTTTTAGTCCCTATAACCAAAAAAAAGGAATCTTTTTACTGCAGGAAACCAATTTGGCTAGTGATCCAAAAGTTTGGATATATATTAGTCTAACCTGTGAAGCTCAGGAAATATATTACCTGGAGGCAGAACTTTTGTTTTTCTTCCCATCCTCATGCTGGAGTCATGAGGTTGAATATAAGTCATCACTTTTAGAGGGCGAAAGATACTTTCATTTAGGGTTATATGCTTTCAGTATAATATGTACGCATATATATGTATATATTTGAATTTCTCGATTTCTTGTGTTATTCATCAAATATAGGAAAGAATTGCATATTAGTTTGGCTATCTTTCTCTCTCACTATACATTTACAAATTTATCATATTTCTTATATACTAATTGTTTGCTGTTGTTCAATTGTCAAAAGCAGAATCACAGGAATTAGATGAATACTTTGTCGATTTGCCTCCTGAGCTTTGTCAGTTGAAGATACTAGGTTTTTCCAAGGATATTGGAAGTTCATTGTCTTTGCTACCATCAATGATGCATCATCTTGAAAACTTGCTTGTAGCCATTGAACTCAAGTATGTGTTATCAGTTTCATTCTCAGAGGGAGCTGAAGTTACTGCTCATAGGGTAAGGCCTTGTTCCAAATGATATTACCCTGAGTTCTGACCTTGATAAGCAATGCATCACTCTAATTGTGCATGTAAAATATCTAAATCAATATATGAATTAACTACATTTTGCTACTGACTGATTGGATCGTTATCAGATTCTTGAGGCACTCACAACAGAGAAGTGCCAGGAACGCTTTTCTCTTGAAAGACTTGAAATACTTGGCGATGCCTTCCTCAAATTTGCAGTTGGACGTCGCCTTTTTCTTTTGCATGATACACTTGATGAAGGGGAGCTTACTAGGAGACGGTCCAATGTTGTAAATAATACTAACTTGTCCAAAGTAGCAATAAGGAGCAATTTACAGGTATGGTCTATTATATAATAAATTTATTTGGCAGCTGATAATCTGTATCTCATTTGTTAATCTCTTTGCCTTGATGTTAAACAACAATCTATTGATTTCTTAGTTATTGTAGATAAATTTTTATTTGAGCATGCTTTTGTAGCCTTTGATTGTAGATTCTTAAAACAAAATAAGAGAAAGTGCATAAACAAGTAATCTTGTTTTGTGTTTAGATTTAGACATGCCTCCAAGAAAGTTAAAAAGAATAAAAATCAATTTTACGCAGATCCAAAACATTTTACATGTGAAACTTCCTATGAAGAAGAAAAGTCATTTGAAATGTGAAGTGCTTGTTGTCTCTCTCCTTATGGAGGAGCACACACCTTAGTATGTTTCGGTCCTTTTTTTTTACACTAAACTATTTTGAGGCATGTGTTTTAGATTTATATTTTTTAGCATAACCTCTTATTAATATCACATAGACTAGAAGAGTTTTTCTACTTGTAAATCAAACTTCCTTATCTAAGTTTTGAGATAATTAGTAACTCATTAGTATGATATGAGAGCCTACTATAGTAAGACTATAATATGACAATTTAACCCTCGTTGACCTAGTTGCTTCCTGTGATTGGGCCTTCATGCAAGGTATGACCATATATTTTTGCCTGCGCATCAGTACGGTTCCTTGCCTTCCTAATTTTCTGTGTATTCTTTGTAGATTAACCTTTTTCCAATTACTTGTGGGAAATACGGAGATAGAGGTTTCTCATTGTAAGAATAGTTTGAAATGTATTATATTGAATCTTACAATCTCATGTATATAAATTTTCTATAATGGAAAAAGAAATAAACAACTAATTACAATTAATTTTATAGAGTATAATTTATTCATTTACCTTTTAACCTAATTCACCATGTCTTTAACACTTATTCTCAAGCTGGGAATATATGTTGTCCATCCTTAACTTATTAATAAAAGTTTAAAATGTTAGATTGCTTAAGTTTTTAGTCAATACATCTACCAATTGAGAATTAGTAAGCATATATAGGTATATATTAGGTCACTGTCAAGTTTTTCTTTAATAAAATGTCTATTGACCCCGATATGCTTGGTTCGGTCATGTTGCATCAACTTATGTGTAATGCTTATGGCTGATTTATTACAGCAATAGGTACATGAGATTTTTCCACTTGACTTTACGACTGGTCTAAGATTGATAGAGTATCTATGTAGATTTATTCTTCTAAATTTCCATACAAGAATGACATTTTTTGCATCAAATTGACATAGTTGCCAACCAAAGTGAGCAATTAATGATAACAAGATTCACACAGTGTTCATCTTGGTTAATAGTGTGAATGTGTTTTAGTAATCTATCTCATATGTTTGTGTATAGTTTTTGCCACGAATATCACTTTATATCTCTTGATTGTACCGTCTGTCTTGTATTTGATTGTAAAGATTCATTCACATCCCATCGGTTTTTTGTCTTTGGGTAAATCCACAATTTCTCATGTATAGTTTTTTTTAAGTGTCTACATTTATACATTTATAATATTTTTTATTTTTTATAAAATAATATCTCAGATATTGTGTTAGGAAATGAATTTATATTAGACTTGTGAGAAAATTTTTATGAAATAGTGAACACTTATCAAATGATACAAGTTGTGAGATAGGATGAAGCAGGTGTTTAATACATGTTCTTCTGTCTTTACGAAGTGTAGCATGTATATCACTATCGAATTGTATAGGTTTTTCAAGGTTTATCTTAGTTATAGAATCAAGGTTGAATTCTTGGATCGACCTAGACCCATTACTCAACATCTTTCTCTTCTTATATACCTAAGAAAACCTAGGTTCTAATGATTTCTTAGTAGGTAAATATTTTGATGGTTCTGAAGGTTCTCTTGTGTAATGGTGATTGTGGTGTGTGGCAAAGGTAATAGGTTAAAGTCTGTTAAGAATTTTGTATTCTTATCTTTAAATATAAGTTTCCGTTGAAGATACATTTAGATAAAGTATGATTTTTGTTCAACAAATGTAACATCCGCAGACATAGAAAACTTTTGAATTGGTGGATGAACTCCTTTTGAGATGAGTATCCCACAAGTATACATTTCAGGATTCAGGGATCAATTTTTCATTTTTAATAGGAATGGATATGAATGAAGACAATTCATCCAAATATCTGTGGGATCAGATAGTTTTTGACACTGCTGGGTAAGATTCTTGAAGTGTTTCAATTGGGACCTTTGAAATCAACAATTCTGGTGGGTAGACGATTAATAAGGTAGATGATGGGAAAGACGACTTTATCCAATATTATTTTGATTAAAAGGTGATTATTCTTGTGTTTTGCTACTCCGGTTTGTTATGTTGTGTGGATGCAAGATGATTCATGAAGAATTCTCTCCTGATGGGAGACTGATGAAAGTGTGTGATTAAAAACTCTTTGGCGTTATCAATGCAAAATCTTTTTATACTAATTCCGAATTTGATTTTTATAATGTTATAGAACTAGAGTACGATGTGTCTAACATCATAGTTGACTTTTGAGTAAAAACTGTCAGATGACTTTGGTGCAATCGTCAATGAATTACACAAACCATCAATCCTTAGAAAAATTATGTGTGAGTCGATTCCCAAATATCACTGTAAATTAATGAAACCGGAGGTAAATTTCTTTTGTTACTAATAGGAAATATTATATGCTTATAGTTTACGAACTCATAGATATCACAATTTAAATTTTCATATTTTGAACTTTTAAGCAATAAAGGGAACATAACCTTCAAAGTGGAGAAGGATGAGTGTCTAAATCTTTTATGATGAAGTCAAATCTTGTGTATAGAGTCGATAGTAATACAAAGAAGGATTCCTTAGATGCATCCAAATAATATATTATGTTTCTGGTTTCAGCACGTCTAATTATTTTTTTCAAACTCTAATCCTGAAAGTTATAGTGAGAAGAGTCAAATGTTCTTTTGTAACTCAAATCATGTGATGAGTTACTAACTGACACAACATTAGTGCACAGTTTGGGAATATGTAACACATCTTCTAGAAAAATGGTAGGATTAATCTTGATAATTTAGGAAATTATCTGCAGTGACATTTTTCTTATTACTTGGATGGAGAATATATGTATGAAAATCTTTAGAAGTATTGATTATATAATGCGTAGTTTTGAGGCTATAATCCAAGATTTTTCAAAATATTTATTTGAAGCATTTAAAATGTGTGAAAATAAAAAGTACATATGAGTAATTTTGTTACACTTGTACCTGCGGGCTTC